TATTTGTTGTTCAAAATATTAATTGAAGCTTTCTGAATTTCAACACAAGTGTGTTGTTATTTTTCAAACGTAAGGCAAGACCAATTTTATTTCTTGTTTTTTACAGTTTTTTGTCCTCAGAAAACCTAAAGGGAGGAGGGGAAAAAAATAAAAATATAATCACCAGTCAAAGTAATATTCCTTCTAAATATTAAAAGTATGTTACTTTAGGCAATTTATGAAGTATATATGGGGCAAAAAACAATCTCCAAATTTCTTGTATTTTTACATTTTTGGCCAATAAAAACATTAGGATTTTATTTTTTGAGCGGGGAAAATTAACTTTTTTATTTTTTTCTTATTCTTGAAAAAATATGATAGGCGGATCCATAAAACAAGAAATAAAATTGGTCTGGCCTAAGCTAAGATTTGCTGACAACAACACATGATTTAACATAAACACTTACTTGGAACTAGATGACCTAAAGCAGTCAATTGAGTGATCAGAAGAAAATTGTGCTACCATGCTTGTGACGTAACGTATTACTACGTACATATTTGTGACGTCATATATATCTGTGCACATACCACAAAGTTTAGGTTCATGATTTGTGGCAATTGAAATTGCATTTTTTAAAGTTATAGAGTGAGAATGACAGTCTATGATAAATAGGTTATCACACTCATGGGTTTTGGGATGGTTAATATATTGCATTAGGAATAAAAACTATGTTTTTAGCTCACTAAGGCTCGCAAATACAATGTTTATTCTTAATGCAGGATATTAACCACCCCAAAACTCACTCGCATGATAACCTATATTTATCTAAAGAATAAAATATTTTCAATTTAATGATCATACTCTTGTTTAACTGAAAGTTGCAAAATGATTTAGTTTCTACTAATAATATATTAATTTTCACTGATTTTGAAAATGTTTATCAAGCTCCTGAAGGAATGTTTATTCATCGGTAAAGACAAAAAATTACCTTCAAAGTTCAAAATCAGAATATTTCTGATTGTATCTGACTTTTCACATTGATAAACAACAGTAGGAAGCATGCCACATTAGATTGAGGGGCAAATTGCGGACTGCCAGAATAAAGGAATTCAGGTGCACTAAACATATCTTTATGAGATAAGCAAAAACTGACCTTTATAAGCGTATGCACTTCGACTAAGTTTACATATGGCATGATTCATATCTTAATCATTTTGGGGCAGTTTTGTTTTTGTTTTGTCATTTGTTGTTTGGGTCAGACCAAGTCTATTTTTTGTTTTACGGATTTTTGTCCTCAGAAAACCTCAAGGCAGGAGGGCAAAAAAAAAGAAAAAGAAAAAGAAAATCACCAGTCAAAGTAATATTCCTTGTAAATACTCAAAATATGTTACTTTTGGCAATTTGTTAAGTGTATATGGGGCAAAAGACAATCTAAAAACAAAATTTCTTGTATATTTACATTTTTGTAAAAACATTAGGATTTTATTTTTTTATTTTTTTCTTATTCTTGAAAAAATACGGCAGGCGGATCCGTAAAACAAGAAATAAAATTGGTCTGGCCTTGGCATGGAATCCAAAATGTTCCCAATACTTGGAGCGAAAGCTTTGGCCATTTTTATTGCTGGTTACTCTCAAAATAAGAACCAACATTTGGAATGAAATTTAACCTTGCTTAACACTTAATGAATCGTATAAAAATGAAAATAAATAATCCTGTTGCTTAGTAACCATCCATTGTTTCACCATCCGTCGATGATTTGAATTACAAGCTCTAGCAGCTAAACAAGATGGTAGTGCTTATGAAATGTAATTTAATAACACTGACAATACCATCCTTGTGAAAATATTTTTCATGCCAGAAAGTGTTCCAGAATCATTTGGGTTTGATAATGAGAAAACGTGATCGATTGCTTGGTCGTTGAGCCAATGCAACAATCTTTGATTATTTCAATTGATTGGAAATTGTTTGTAGATTCTTTCAGAACGTGATGTATTTATATGTGTGTGAAATGTCCCGCACAAATCATGGGGTTTTGTTTAATGGTATTTGTTTTATGTACATGTCACCACTATGTATGGAAATATTCGGAACACAGCTGGAAAGCTGATCTCATGATCTGGTTGTATTCATGTTCGTTGAGCATGTCCGGGAAGAAGAAGAATCTAAATATTTTTAAGTTGTAGCTGTGGTGGTCACAGCGTCCTTGTTTGTAGCTGTGTCCAATATCTAACATGCATAAAAATGAACATAACGTGTAGATATGGTGATTACAGTGACCTGGCTGATTACAAGTCATCATGACCAGATAAACATGGACAGGTCCTCATCAGCTATTCTGTACCTGCACAGGTGTGATTATTTACAGGCTTGAACATTGTTCACTCAGGCATAAAACCACATTTATGGCAAGTCAGGTTTTGGCTATCATTTTTAAAGTTTATGTTGTGTTAACACAAACAGTGTATTCGCTAAAGTAAATAAAGGAATGTGCAGTATACACAGATGACCGGGAAGTATCTAGACTCAATGAGTATCTGATGTTAACCCCAAATTAGCATATTAGGGATGAAATGGGCTGGTGCATTGGGAGTTGCAATGATATGACAGTACGTTTCTTTTGTATCAAGACAAGGAACTACACTTGCTACTGGTTGATGAAATTTCTCATCAGATGTTTTGTCAAATATTGCCAAAAAAGTTATTATAATTTCAGTTTTAGTACTTGACTTAAAAATTCCCCAAATTGGTTTGAGAAATTTCTATTATTCATGTTAATTTAATGACAAATAACTAATTTTGTGTCTATATTTAGAGAATATGTATTTAACTGATAACAAAAAAATAGCAGTAAGTTTTAATGCTTGTTTTACGTCATTGCGTTGGATGCAAGTTTTTGCAACAGCAAAATACAATATAAAAACTCCTTTGTATTCAGGAAAACACGAGTTTCAAAAAAAAAAATTCCCAACTTGTCTGCTGGACACCCTTAGAAAGCTGGCTAACTCCGGCTGATTCTGGTTTACTACAGGTGTCCACCATTATATGCTAGTTGCTGGAGGGGATAAATGGTTCTGGTGGTCATGCTCAGTTGACTTGATGGCCTTAAAAGCAAACAAGCTGCTTCAAACAGGATATAGAGTCCTCACAACCATACCTACAAAGTGGCTGTATATTGGGCTTTTTCAGTTGAGATTATTTGTTTCCTGTATGCAGTAATACACTGGATCCTATGACAGACACACTTAGTCATGCTGAGCATGTTGCAGACGGGATTATTTGTTTTCACGTGAAGTCCACAACATTTCTGACGGTTCATTTAACCCATTTACTCGATGATAGCCATGGCACTCATAAAGATATTTATCTAGGTTTTGTCCCTTGGAATTGAAGGGAAAGGATGACTTTTGATCTGTCCTTGACCTCAGTAGATGTCAATTCACCTTGAGCGAGATAATGGCAGTTGTCCATTACCTTTTCATGATGGATGGTCATACACTTTTTATTTTCTCCATCTTTTGCTTTTTTGCGCCCATGCCTGAATCTTCTTCCAGGCTCGCCAGGTCTGAAGGTCTTAATGTTGAAGCAGGTCATCACATATAGTCTTTAACATGTTTATATTTTTATATTTCAACTTTTCCAGAATGGTTCAAAGGTTATCGAAGAAAATTTGTGTGGTCACTTGGTTACTGTAAGAGGGAATTCTTTTACACAGTCCTTTTGATCATGGCCCGGTGTGAATGCACAACCTGAATCTCTAAATATTATCTCCTTAAAAACAAGTGATCAACAAAGATGAAATTGTGCTCCCACTAGTGATGAAATCACCCAGTGAGTACCACCAGCCCTCGTGTCTTTGAAAGGATTAAGGATTAAATTAAAGGTTTTTTTTAGATGACCCCCGACTCGAAATGCTTCACAGTACAATAAATCATGACAATGCTGGACGCTTTGGTGTACCCCATCTGCCAGCTTTGCCAATCGCTACGCTACCATCACATGCAATCGATTTAAACTTGATGTAAACATAATCATGGATGATTGGCCTATCAATCACCACTCATGACACCTACCAATTCTTTATTGTTATTTCTGCAAGCCGATTTGGGCCCTCAACTAACGACCCGGTCACAAAAAAAGGATGACGATAGGTCCGCACAAACCGGGAGTGGGGTTTCAATATGACAACACCAGCTGTATTTAGAAAGCTATTTACATCCTAAATCTGCCATTTTTGTACACAATGTAATGAAATTTGGTATAGTTTATATGATAGGCTCTCTGTTTAACAAACCTAAAGGGACCAATTCTTCTGGTTTGACGTATGGTACAATTGAAGATGCAGATATGAAACATAACCGATGTTTTTCTCACACATGACTTAATTATATAAGCCATTTGATACCGTAAATTTAGAATGCCACGGATCAAACCTGACCCTGACGTTATCTTGTATCAGACATGTTTTGTGACAAAGTGTCAGCTGAGATACCCTCAGCACAGGTCTTAGGGACCGTTCATAATTCATGGCTAGGAGGGGTGATGATGATTTTAAGGGGGGGTCACCCATTTTGTCCTGGGGAGGTAGGGGAGTCATCAATTTTGTTCACATTTCTAGGTGGGGTCAGCAATTTTGTACATAAAAATATTTTAAATTATTATGCTTAAAAAATATTGGAAGGGGAAGGGGGGGTCATTGATTTTGTACATGACATGCAGGGGGGTCACTTACTTTGTACATATATTTTAGGGGGGTCATTCCCATTGTACATGCTTCTCCATAAAAATCATCACACATGCACACACGCACGCACGCGCACACACACACACACACTCGGCCATAAATTATGAACGGTCCCTTATGGAAACATTCATTTTTTTATTCACAGTTTGAACTTAGTTTACCTATTCCTCTTCATAAGATCTTTTCCCCTACATGATATTGTTTGGACCACAGCTGTAGTGTAAAGACAGTGATAGAGGTGAGAATGTTTGAGTTATTCTTGTTGTTTTTGTTTGCAGCTAAGTAGTTGGAAGGAAGACTTTTACGAGTCATTTGAAGAAACCCCCCTGCTCATCGCTATCATCACATACATTGGCTATGGAATCCTTGTCGTGGTCGGACACATCCGGGACTTCCTTCGCTCTCACGGTTTGGAAACAACTAAGGCCATTACAGAAATTAAAATGCCTGTAAGTTTTGTTTCAGCCAAGTGTGTAACATTTTCACTGTCCTCTCTTGATTGTTGCAGCAAAGACCTCACCTGAAGCTTAAAAAGAACATTAAATCAATTATTCTTTTTAAAAATATGAAATCCAGCAGGAAAATATGGTTATACTTATTGGTACAATGCTGTAATATATTTAGTCAATGGTTTTTGTTTCCTATCTGAAAGTAATATTTTCAAGAACAAATTTCATCCTGTATTCAGGATATGTGGAACAAATCTGAGTTGTATAATCAGCTAGGTCTGACCAACGTGGTTCCTCTCGTATTTTCACTTTGACCATCAATGGAATTATTACAATTTCAAAATATAAGCTTCAATTACTCTTTGGTATGGAAGAATGAGTCTCATTACAGTGATTGCATTTACAGTTAAACCTCGCATTTGTGGACACTTGCCTTTTCTCAGATATTGTCCTGATAAACGAATGTCTGAATATCTGTATCGCTTCACAAACAAAATTCTTTGGATGTGCAAAAAATAACAATCCGCTATTGTGTAATGCATGGGAATTATTGTTTGTGTATTATGCTCAGTCAAAAACTACGTCATATCCCTTCAGCGATTTTATGTGAAGGAATGAGGGATATAATACCAAATTTAATATACTCAATATAAAAAGTAAAATTTGAGACAAATTGTTGGTAATTGAAATTCACTGTCCAGATTCAGAAGCCATATTTTCGGCTAAATGAAACATAATAGAATATATTTCGTTTCACATAAATCTTGTCCAGAAGGTTTCCAGTTATCTGGGTTCCACTGAATATCAATACCTCAAAATGAATTTTATATTCAAGTGGATTTACCACATCGGTGGATATAGTATATATTTTGAAGTTAGTGAACCATTTGCCAAATCAGTTGAAGTTATTGTGAACCTTTGTGAATATTTGTTACGTATGTCATGTTAAGTGGTGACATATTTGTTTTGTCATAGGGGTTTGTGCCACTGTTGGCCAGTTGGGAGAGCTTCTACACACGGAACCTTTACCGCCGTGTACGGGACTGTTGGAACCGGCCCATCTGCAGCGTTGCAGGAGCCTACATGGACACACTGGAACGTGTCACCCCTGACCATGGATGGAACTTTGAGTATGTATAGACTAGGGGAGATAACTCATGGCGTACTGTGGGGAATTTACATCATGGTACTATATCATATTTACTGCATTGCAAAAATATGTGAGTATGTATAGACTAGGGGAGATAACTCATGGCGTACTGTGGGCAATTTGTATCATAGTACTTTATCACATTTACTGCATTGCAAAAATATGTACCTCAACATCAGATAATGGTGAAGTCTCTTTAAGTTCTCAATATTGACCTCTCACTGACTGAACTGTTATATTCCAGGGATACTGTTTGCTAGTTCTGGTCCAATTCACTTATGTATTTTGTGAATGAAATGTTTCTCTTCATAAAATTGTTTTGTTATTTGTGGTAACTAGAATTGAATATTTATATTTTTTAAGGGTGGTTTTACTTGTGTTTGTATGTTATTTATCAAAACGAGATAGACAAACTAGAATATCTAGGCAGGATAATAACCAATGATAATAGGCAGGATAATGGCCGTATACTTAAGTTTACCTTAAGTTTACAGTAATGTGGTCACTGGTCATTGTCATGATAATCAAAACTGTCAACATTTTCAAAACAATAAATATTTTTGGGGCGGTGGGGTAGCCTAATGGTGAAAGCGTCCGCTCGACATGCTGAAGACCCGGGTTCGATTCCCCACATGGGTGCAATGTGTGAAGCCCATTTCTGGTGTCCCCCACCGTGATATTGCTGGAATATTGCTAAAAGCGGCGTAAAACCACACTCACTCACTCACTCAATAAATATTTTATTGTTACACCCAATATAATGAAGAATACATCAACTGCTGACTCATTATTGTATCCCTTACTCAATATTCATGATGTGTATCCTATTTGCTGCAGAGTGGATTTGCTGCGCCCCCTATTGTTCGCCATGAAATTCAGAAAGAAATTCTTGATTATATCGAAGCATGTGGGTGGCTTTCTGCTTTATTATGGTTCTAGGACTTTTACAAACCTTTATTAATGTCTCGGTGTAAAATGGGCCTGGTTTATGAAACCTTAAAAAATATGAATCAATCAATCAATCAGTGGTACTCAGCCTAGTTTCCTGGGTATGCTGCCATTACATTGACAAGGTAATATTGTTCATGGCAGTCTCCACATTGCAACATGGCAGACACAATAAGTATTTACTATAGAAAAAACCCAAGAATGGCTGGTTAGAATTTATTAGCATTTCATCAATAATGTAGCTTTGTATATGTCACAGGAATCATGCCTATTGTTCCTTCAGTTGAAGATATTGTTATCCCACTGCATACAATTCAGGGTGATATAACTGACACTTGGTCTGTCTGTCTCTCTGTCTGTCTGTAACCATGGTGCTTCCAGAGCACAACTTGCAAAATGTTTCCAGTTTCCATGGCAACAAGGTTGACTTTGACGGTTCATATTGGTATGATTGTCCAGACCATATCTCTAAAATTAATACATGTTCTTTAACTGTGTGCACACAAAAACCAAGTTGTCAGCTGGTGCATTTTGCTACTTTTTTTTTTTTTCGCTTTTATATATTTTCCATTTCCATGGCAACAAGTCTGAGTTTGACTCTGTTCATAGAGGTGTGATTTTCCAGACTAGATCGCTAAAATTGTCTACGGTATTCTTCAACACGCATACATAAAGACCATGTTGTCAACTGGTCCCTTTTGATCTTTTCAGTTTGTGGGGCTGAGGGATTTGTCATCCTCTAATAACTCTTGTTTCCTTGTCGCGCAGGCAAAATGTAAATTATGACACACTCCATTTACAAAACCGATATATGCATTATTCATTGTGTTAACTTGCTATTATCATGAAATTGATAGATAATTCATAGATTTGAATGACAATAATCAAACATAGTTCACATCGTTATTTTAGGAAATTTGATGATGCATATTTCGAAGATTTTGTCCCCTGTGTTAAATGCTAATAACTAAAAATTACAATGTGTAATAATGAGTGAGCGGTTTGGTTTTAAACCGTTTTAGCAATATTCCAGCAGTATCATGAAGTGGCTTCACACATGGTACCCATGTGGGGAATCAAACCTGGCTTTCAGCATAACGAGTAAACGATTTAACCACTAGGCTATCTCACTGCCCCTTGACTGCTGAAAACCAATTCTGACCCTGATCTTCATAGAGGAGAGTAAAGATGTGCTTTGTTACCATCTTAGTGTATTGTTTGATGGAGCTGCAGAAAAGAAAAGAGTTAGTGTTGACTTGACAGTTTAGAAAAGTTTTGTCATAGTTTTAAATATATATTGACAATGGTATAATTCTACATTCTAAGAAAAATGGGTTGTATTCATGAAGATATATATTGTCCTTCAAATATCATAAAAAGAATTATGGATTTTCTGTTTCTAACAAACAATTGTATTTTCAAGGCTAACAGGCAAGAAGAAAACAGTTATGAACTTTGGGTCATACAACTACCTTGGTTTTGCCGAGAACACAGGACCATGTGCTGAAGCAGTGGAGGTCACGACCTTGGAGGAAGGAGTAGGCGTTTGTGCCAGCAGGCAGGAACTGGGTGAGTGTGTTCTCTGTCTGTCTCTCTCTCTCTCTCTGTCTCTCTCTTTTTGAGACAGAGAGAATCAACAGGAACTGCATGAATATTTGAGAGAAAAACAGCTAAAATGTGTTACCTGGTGTGTCCATTTTCTTAACATTCCAGTTATAATCATCTTCTGTTGTCAGGTTATTTGGAAGTTCACAAGGAGCTGGATGACCTGATGGCTGAATTCCTGGGAGTTGAGGCGTCTGTCACCTTCCCAATGGGCTTCGCCACCAACTCCATGAATATGCCTGCCCTGGTGGATAAGGTTAGTAGAAGTATTGGAAAGATCTACTCTTCATCTCTCTATGAAGCAATGCCTGTTTGATGTGGCACCAGAATCTATACTCATGGAAACAAATATGGGAACACGTGAAAGTAAGTGTTCCTTTAATCTGTTCTAGGTTTCTTCGCAGGGTATGTATTGCACTGTGAGTGAATTTCTGGAAATATATAAAAGAACACTTGCACTTTCAAGTGTTCCCTTATTCGTTTCTATGAGTGTATATTACTGAATTTTGGTGCAATATCATTATGAACAATTTTCCATGCATTAGTGATTGTTTATAGTTACACTGACATTCTGACATTTGGATTCTTAACAAGAGTGATAGTGTGAAATTTGGAATGCATTTGAGAAATCAGTGGATGACGTCTATCAACTTGCCATTATGAATTGATGCATAAATATCTGCTGTTTCCTGATCCATGTTTTGCTGTTTCCAGGGCTGTCTCATCCTCAGCGATGAACTGAACCACGCTTCCCTTGTCCTGGGTGCTCGGCTTAGTGGTGCTACAATCAGAATATTCAAACATAATAGTAAGGTTCTTGCCTGTTACCACTAGTTCACCAGGACCGAAAGTTTATGGGTACCCGTGTTAGAATTGGTTTTCAGTAACCCATGCCTGTCGTAAGAGGCGACTAACAGAATCAGGTTGTCAGACTCAATGACTTGGTTCCCACATTTCATCGTATCCCAATTGCATAGGTCGATGCTCATGCTGTTGATCACTGGATTGTCTTGTCCAGACTGAATTATTTACAGCTGGAATACTGCTGAGTGACTCTTTTTTGGGGGGGGAATATTGCAAGAATATAATCTGATACTTCTCAGAAATTGCTGTATCAAATGTGAAATGATAAGAGCTTTCCTTTAAACCTGATGCAAGATTTAGATTGTCATGATTTTTCTTTCATTTTCAGATTTGAAGGATTTAGAAAAGAAACTCTCTGATGCTGTGGTCCATGGGCAGCCTCGTACTCACCGACCCTGGAAGAAGATTCTCATTGTTGTAGAAGGGGTGTACAGGTAGGCAGGAAATAGAATAAAGTGGTATTATAAGGGGAGAGTTTCTATTAGGATACAGGTAAGGGAGATTTATTACAAGTTATCCAGATTGGAGAGACTTATAAAAGGATCAGATGTGACCTGTCATTAGAAGGTACAGGTAGAGAGACTTATAATAATGGGGTACAGTTAGAGAAGGCTTGTATTAATCTTGTACAGGTAAGGAGACCTACTATCAGGGAATACAGTTAGGGCAGTTATATTAATGGGGTACAGGTGGGGCAGACCTACTATCAGGGAATACAGGTAGGGCAGAGTTATATTAATGGGGTACAGGTGGGGCAGACCTACTATCAGGGAATACAGGTAGGGCAGAGTTATATTAATGGGGGTACACGTGGGGCAGACCTACTATCAGGGAATACATGTAGGGCAGTTATATTAATGGGGTACAGGTGGGGCAGACCTACTATCAGGGAATACAGGTAGGATGCAGTTATATTAATGGGGTACAGGTGGGGCAGACCTACTATCAGGGATACATGTAGGGCAGTACATATTAATGGTGGGGGTGGGGCAGACCTACTATCATCAGGAATACAGGTAGGGCAGAGTTATATTAATGGGGTACAGGTGGGGCAGACCTACTATCAGGGATACATGTAGGGCAGAGCAGTTATATTAATGGGGTACAGGTGGGGCAGACCTACTATCAGGGAATACAGGTAGGGCAGAGTTATATTAATGGGGTACAGGTGGGGCAGACCTACTATCAGGGAATACAGGTAGGGCAGTTATATTAATGGGGTACAGGTGGGGCAGACCTACTATCAGGGGCAGACCTATACAGGTAGGGCAGAGTTATATTAATGGGGTACAGGTGGGGCAGACCTACTATCAGGGAATACAGGTAGGGCAGAGTTATATTAATGGGGTACAGGTGGGGCAGACCTACTATCAGGGAATACAGGTAGGGCAGAGTTATATTAATGGGGTACAGGTGGGGCAGACCTACTATCAGGGAATACAGGTAGGGCAGAGTTATATTAATGGGGTACAGGTGGGGCAGACCTACTATCAGGGGGGCAATACAGGTAGGGCAGTTTATATTAATGGGGTACAGGTGGGGCAGACCTACTATCAGGGGAATACAGGTAGGGCAGCAGTTATATTAATGGGGTACAGGTGGGGCAGACCTACTATCAGGGAGCAATACAGGTAGGGCAGAGGGAATACAGGTAGGGCAGTATATTAATGGGGTACAGGTGGGGCAGACCTACTATCAGGGGATACAGGTAGGGCAGAGTTATATTAATGGGGTACAGGTGGGGCAGACCTACTATCATCAGGGAATACAGGTAGGGCAGTTATATTAATGGGGTACAGGTGGGGCAGACCTACTATCAGGGAATACAGGTAGGGCAGTTTATATTAATGGGGTACAGGTGGGGCAGACCTACTATCAGGGAATACATGTAGGGCAGTTATATTAATGGGGTACAGGTGGGGCAGACCTACTATCAGGAATACAGGTAGGGCAGAGTTATATTAATGGGGTACAGGTGGGGCAGACCTACTATCAGGGAATACAGGTAGGGCAGAGTTATATTAATGGGGTACAGGTGGGGCAGACCTACTATCAGGGAATACAGGTAGGGCAGAGTTATATTAATGGGGTACAGGTGGGGCAGACCTACTATCAGGGAATACAGGTAGGGCAGAGTTATATTAATGGGGTACAGGTGGGGGGCAGACCTACTATCAGGGGAATACAGGTAGGGCAGAGTTATATTAATGGGGTACAGGTGGGGGCAGACCTACTATCAGGGAATACACAGGTAGGGCAGAGTTATATTAATGGGGTACAGGTGGGGCAGACCTACTATCAGGGAATACAGGTAGGGCAGTTATATTAATGGGGTACAGGTGGGGCAGACCTACTATCAGGGAATACAGGTAGGGCAGAGTTATATTAATGGGGTACAGGTGGGGCAGACCTACTATCAGGGAATACAGGTAGGGCAGAGTTATATTAATGGGGTACAGGTGGGGCAGACCTACTATCAGGGAATACATGTAGGGCAGTGGGGCAGACCTTATAGAATTACATGGGGGTACCTACTATCTATCAGGGAATACATGTAGGGCAGAGTATATTAATGGGGTACAGGTGGGGCAGACCTACTATCAGGGATACATGTAGGGCAGAGTTATATTAATGGGGTACAGGTGGGGCAGACCTACTATCAGGGAATACAGGTAGGGCAGAGTTATATTAATGGGGTACAGGTGGGGCAGACCTACTATCAGGGAATACAGGTAGGGCAGAGTTATATTAATGGGGTACAGGTGGGGCAGACCTACTATCAGGGAATACATGTAGGGCAGTTATATTAATGGGGTACAGGTGGGGCAGACCTACTATCAGGGAATACAGGTAGGGCAGAGTTATATTAATGGGGTACAGGTGGGGCAGACCTACTATCAGGGAATACATGTAGGGCAGTTATATTAATGGGGTACAGGTGGGGCAGACCTACTATCAGGGAATACAGGTAGGGCAGAGTTATATTAATGGGGTACAGGTGGGGCAGACCTACTATCAGGGAATACAGGTAGGGCAGAGTTATATTAATGGGGTACAGGTGGGGCAGACCTACTATCAGGGAATACAGGTAGGGCAGTTATATTAATGGGGTACAGGTGGGGCAGACCTACCATCAGGGAATACATGTAGGGCAGAGTTATATTAATGGGGTACAGGTGGGGCAGACCTACTATCAGGGAATACAGGTAGGGCAGAGTTATATTAATGGGGTACAGGTGGGGCAGACCTACTATCAGGGGAATACAGGTAGGGCAGAGTTATATTAATGGGGGTACAGGTGGGGCAGACCTACTATCAGGGGGGCAATACAGGTAGGGCAGGGCAGAGTTATATTAATGGGGGGTACAGGTGGGGCAGACCTACTATCAGGGAATACATGTAGGGCAGTTATATTAATGGGGTTCAGGTGGGGCAGACCTACTATCAGGGAATACAGGTAGGGCAGAGTTATATTAATGGGGTACAGGTGGGGCAGACCCACTATCAGTGAATACAGGTAGGGCAGTTATATTAATGGGGTACAGGTGGGGCAGACCTACTATCAGGGAATACAGGTAGGGCAGAGTTATATTTTTGTCGTACACATGGGGTGGGGGGAGACCTTTTAGAGGGTACAGGTGGGGAGGAAGACCTATTAGAGGGTACAGGTAGGGCAGTCTTATCAAGGGGTACGAGTAGAGGAGTCTTGTCAAGGGGTACAAGTATGGAGGGGTACAGGGAAAGTGGGGTTATTGTAAGGGGGATATATGTGTGTACATTTTTAAAGTGCATACCACCATTGTGTTTATTTTGTTCCTATTTCAAGTTATTAACCCTTTCAATTTTATAAGTAATGGTGCTGTAGTACTGTCTAAGAACTGTTTAACAAATGTTTCTGAATGATCTTTTACAGCATGGAAGGGTCGATAGTGAGACTCCCTGACATCATTGCTCTAAAGAAGAAGTACAAGGCATACATCTACCTGGATGAGGCTCACAGTATCGGAGCCATGGGGCTACGCGGCCGCGGTGTTGTAGACTACTTCAATGTCGACCCACGAGACGTGGATGTGTTGATGGGTACATTCACCAAGAGCTTTGGTGCAGCTGGAGGATACATCGGAGGAACTAAGGTTGGTTTCAAGGAATTAACTAAAAACATTGGACTGACTTGTCTCTCAATGGCCTGTCTTGAATCTCATGACCATTAAGTTTATGTCCCCTTGGATGAGATAAGAGTCTGAGATACCTTACCTTATTCGAAAGTTCCCAGGTTTGTTTTACTTCCCAGCCTTCCTTCTGTCATCGTATCCCACTTGCATATATAGATTAATGCTCATGCTGTTGATGGCTCTATTGTCTGGTCCAGGGGGCGGTGGGATAGTCTAGTGGTTAAAGCGTTGGCTCGTCACGCCGAAGACCCGGGTTCGAATCCCCACATGGGTACAATGAGTGAAGCCCATTTCTGGTGTTCCCCGCCATGATATTGCTGGAATATTGCTAAAAGCGGCGTAAAACCAAACTCAGTCAGTCAGTCAGTCTGGTCCAGACTCGATTATTTACAGAATGCTGCCATATAGTTTGAATATTGCTGAGTGCAGCATTAAACAACATACAAAAGAATCCTTCTACATCAGCCTATAACAATTGGAGATTTTGTGGCATCCAAAGATTGAAAATATCATATAAATCAAACTGAAATACTGATGTAGGAACATGTAACCTAACACACGCACTCATCTTACCGTATGTGTTCATTCCAGCGCCTCATCAACCACTTGAAAGTGAACTCCCACAGCGCCATCTATGCTTGCGCCATCTCCCCTCCTGTAGCTAGGCAGATCATCCACTCAATGAAGATCATCATGGGCAGAGATGGAACCAACTTAGGTGTGTGTTATGAATTCAGGAAATGTTGACTTGTGGATTTCAACTTCTTTATTCTTTCAGTGTCCTCTTAGGTCTTCATTATTATGTAGAAAAGCTTCTGAAATGCCACTTGAATACATTTGTTAAGACCCCGTGTTTACCCAGGAATTGCTATCCTGTCCCACAAAGTGGGTTGGGATATAAGTATGGAGTCTGTCTGTCTGTCCTGACATCCTTATTTACATCGATTATTTACAAACTATCATCGTATAACTGGAATGTTGTTGACTGTGGTGTGAAACAAAAAAACAAACAAACAAACAAAAAATTTGAACAGGATGATATATTTCTTAAGTCACTCACTCCCAGAGTCCCTTTGAATGGTAGACTGCTAAAATAATATGTAATTAACTTACTCACACACTGTATTTTAATGCCTATTATCATGATTTAAGCAGACAATATCATTCAAGCGTCCCAGTGGTGAATCTGATTTAGAACAGGCCCCAGCAACCTATGTTGACTGCGAGACTCCACGAAGTGGATCAGGTTGTCAGACTCATTGACTTGACTGATAGCAGAGTCGTGTTCAGAACCACAAGCGCCCACACTATTGCCTTGGTTACATTAAACCATTCATAACCAACTCGTGTTATTCCGGGACAAGCCAAATAGCTTCTTGTCTGCTTGTTGGAGGTTACGGAAAGGGGCGAGTGGTGACAAATGACATTAAACATGGTCGCCATCTTGGTTCGCTTGTCGAGGCAGCTGTGAGGGATGGTTCGCAGGGGCTCAAACAGGCACAGGCGTTCAGGATCGAGCGATCGCTAGCGTTCGCGGGCACTCGCGGTTCTGAACATGCTTCAGGTCTCCAATGGAGATGATCACCCCTCACAATATTGAATCACTGGAATGTTGGTTCAGACTCGAATATTTCTGAGTATAGCAACAACTGTATCCATCAAGGATCAATCACATGAACTTGTCAAATTCTGTCACTTCTACCTCATCTTTGAATAGGGACCACGGTTAGTGTAATTAAAACTAGTTTATGATTATTTTACACTGGTCAGGAATATTTTATTTTCAGAATTGTATGCCTTATATGTTGCACAGGTCTGAGACGCATTAGGCAGCTAGCCTGGAATACTAGATACTTCCGCAAAGAACTACAGAAAAAGGGCTTCATTGTCTATGGTAACAAGGACTCACCTGTCGTGCCGATGCTCCTCTACATGCCTGCCAAGACAACGTATGTTATTGATGATGTTATGTGAACGTTCTTTTATGCATCAGTCAGCACTGTAACTGCTGTGCCACAACAACCTGTAAACAATCAGTGTTGTGAAATTCTTATCAGCACTTCACTACATGCATACTGTTCTATAAGGGTATTGTGGACATACGTCATAGGCTTCGAGTCTTTTCACCAAAGTGGTTAACATCTCAGACATTTATCAGCAGTGTTCAGTTATTATGTCTAACTTTTCTGGCTGGTGAAAATATAGTGCTTTGCAAGGGGGGAAATATCCTTAGTTGCTTTTGGGGGATAACGAAAATTGTCTGTGAAATAAACTTTGAAGTCTGGAAGATACGTAAAAAAAATATGTAATTACCTCCCTTTAAACAAACTGGAATTCTGTTCAAATCAGCCTTAAACCCAACACATTCATTCACGAGTCATTGTTTTGACCTTTCATACATGTTGATATATATTTTGTGGAAAACCTAACTTTATCTTAAACTGCTTTATAATCTTTCTTCCAGGGCATTTAGTCGTTTATGTTTGGAGAAAGGTCTAGGTATTGTGGTGGTTGGATTCCCAGCTACTCCAATCATTGAATCTCGAGCCAGGTTCTGTCTGTCTGGCGCTCACACCAAAGAGATGCTGGATAAAGTAAGTCATTTGGAAGGTAGCATTCAAAATAGGTTTCTTGATAGTGAATGCAGACATAATGATGGTCCTCTGTTCTGTGTTTATGCATCTTATAAATGGATGTCCAGAACAGAAATATTATATTTTTTATCCCCAATTTAAGACAACATTTGGTCTTAAGTGTAAAGACAAAATATGGACCTAAGTTATTTTCATGATCCGAGATGCAATGACTACTTTTAATGAGAGTCATTAGATAATAGTAGGATGGGTTGTACGGTAGTTTTATGAGTCGAACTCAGTATTGAAGTTCTACCAGTGATAGCTTATTGAAGTTTTTTATGACCCAAGTAATTTATCACATCTAATGGAAGGGAAGCAGAGAAATATGACTCAGTTCTATTTTTTCAAATTCAAACGTTTGAATGTTTGAAATGTTTGACATATGGCTGATGTATTCTTTGCGTTGAACAGTTAGCTGAAATCACCAGGTTGGATGATTGTATCTCTGACGTTTCAGGCTCTGATGATTATTGAAGATGTGGGGAACAAGTTGCATCTGAAGTACTCACGTCTGCCAGTTCCAGCACACACGCTAAAGGAAGAACCAGAGCCCCACCTTCAGGTAACCATAATCTGTCCTACCGCCTCCGTGGTGTAGTGGTTAGAGAGTGGTGTAGTGGAAGGTCGCGGGTTCGATGGTTTGGTACTTGTTGGTTCCTGCCTGGCGCTCGGCATTAATGGGAACATCAAGGACTGGTCGGCTCAGAGTCAGAATAATGTGTCTGAGTGGGGTATTCATGCTTCACTGCGGCATGGTATCTCAGTGGCAGGGGTGGAAATAACTTTAAAATTGCTAGTGTACTCCGGTACAGTGGCACATGTAAAATCACTTGACCTGATAATTTTCCCACTATACTGGCCGTTTTCTTGTTGATTTTTTTAAATATACGACATAATTAACATTGGAAAGTCAACTGGACACCAGTACAGTGTGATATACAAATTTGCTTGCCCGACAGAAAAAAACACTGGACTCGGACGTCGGGCAATGGGTTATTTCCACCCCTGAGTGGGCTAGCACTATAAATCCAGCTTCAGCCTGGGCTAGTACAAGCAGCCGCACATACACATACACTCACATGCACGTCGTCATATGAGCGAAATATTCTCAAGCACGACGTTAAACCCAATTTCACCTCACCACCTCCATTGCACTCTATATCTATTTAACAGGCTGTCCTTGACCTACCTCACAGGGTGTCCTTTGACCTATGTCTATTTCACAGGTGTCCTTGACCCAAGTGAAGGTGTATCCTGATGTCCTATCCAGCTTCACAAGGGACAGATATTTTCATTAACACTATTGATACATAAGGGACCAATTCAAAAGCTTGATGTCAAATAAAAGGGGTTAATGGCCGTTTTCATTTTCCTACAAGATCAATTTTTGTTCTCAAAGTTTTATAAACAGTCAAGTTTCGTTAATCTGGCATCGTCCGTTGCACAGCAAATTGTCGGATAAACGAGTATGTCGGATTATCGATTTCTAAGTACAGATCACGTTCATGGTCAAAAACAGGACAATCATGATTCATATTAAGTGTGTGTGTGCAATTAGTGTTGGGAATCGACTTCTTAAACCATAATCGATTATCGACTTTAGATCACCCATTTTACAGCTAAACAATGCGTACGTCATTAAATTTGTGTGTGTGAAAAGTAGAACTCCAGATCTATGTGTCGACTTCGATGCAGAAATCAGAATAGAACACCTATAGATCTAAGAGTAGATGTAACAAGTATCAATAAATCTATTATTTCCAACCTTGTTCATGAATTTGAAACCGCCTCCGTGGTGTAGTGGTTAGAGTGTCCGCCCGGAGAGCGGAAGGTCGCGGGTTCGATCCCCGACCGCGTCATACCAAAAGATGTTGAAATATGGTACTTGTTGGTCCCTGCCTGGCGCTCGGCATTAATGGGTACAACAAGGACTGGTCGGCTCGGAGTCAGTATAATGTGTCTGAGTGGGGTATTCATGCTTCACTGCGGCGTGTATCTCACTGAGCTGGCACTATAAAACCAGCTTCAGTCTGGGCTAGTACAAGCAGCCGCACATACACATACACACGCATGCACGTTGTCATATGAGCGAAATATTCTCAAGCACGACGTTAAACCCAATTTCACCTCACCTCACCTCACCTCATGAATTTGATGAGAACTGTGTCTTTCACAAATACAAAATGGTTTCTTGAAGTGAACACGTGCGAGGAAGCAGGCATTTTGTTGACAGCCAATCAAACTGCTTGTTTCGATCATGTGTTGATATTCTTGAGGAGTATTCAGTGTTTTCAAAACCATTCCTATTTTCATGAAACATTTACAAAATCTTCATCTATGCTTGCATTTAAACATGAGTCTAAACAATAAAACGGCCGAACGGCTGCTCCCTTGGCAAGCTATAATAGATTTGACTTCCTGTTTTACAGCAGTTATACGATGTTCATCAGATGGCAGAATTTGTGTTCATAATCCTCATTACTCCTGGCGTATCATAACATCCTCAGTGACACGTGGCAGTGTATTCATGGGTAATTGATCACACACGTTGCTAATCTCAGTGTCGGATTAACAGGACTAAGAACTAAGTGATTATGACAGTCGGTTGTAATTGGGGCTATCGGAGTCGGAATGCGGGACTGTCGGATTAAAGAGACTAAATTACGTTTATTCAATTTGTTACCAATAAAAGTGTCGAATAAAGCTGATTGTCGGATAAACGGACGTGGGATTAATGAGACTTGACTGTGATAACATTGACACTATTTTCATTCATATTCTGTCGGTGTTGTCATTGAAAGCATCTTGTCTCTCAGCCAGGTACGGTTTTGTCAATGACAGTACTAGAGGTGTTTCCTTCTAGTTACACAAAATTCCAGACTCTGATTATATGAACATCACTCGATAAACGTTCTGAAAAGCAGGGCAAAATACAAGAATGCCCAAAAGGGCCACTTAACTCAAGAATGCAACATTTTCAGAATAAAGTTTTTTAGGGGATGGGGTGTGTGTCGAAATTTTTAAGTATTTTAGCCAGCATTAAACATTTGAACTGGTCCCTAATCCTTGCAGCAGCATCAAGAATTATGTTTTACAGAGTTACTTCCCTTGCCTTATGTTTGGGACACGGCGCACAGTACCTCAAGATTGGACAAATTTTAGAGGAAGCAATTTGGATACAAGAATGACCTTTTGCAGATATTATTAGGGGATATGTATATCTTTAATCGAGGGTGGGTGGGGCATATTAACAAGCCTTCCACCTTCTTTCTATTAATGTCTGACTGACTCTAATGTTTTCTAGTTGTTTTGAAAACTGGTATTTCAGCTATGACTTCTCTTGTTTCAGTGAAATATTCCAAGCAAGTCCTGAACACCCAGAACAAAGTGCATGTTAAAAAACATGCACCTCTTAATGGCGTTTTCAGCCATTTTGAATGTTTTTTTCACTATGTGGACCAAGTCCATCAGCTCAGCGTTTACTGCTTGTTACCATGGTAGCCTCATGAAATCTCACAAAGATCTCACCAACCAAGTATGAAGAATATATGCTCAACATGATGTGCTGAATGCTCAATATTTGCTGAGCCTCATCAGTCAGAGATGTGGTCCACAGCAAATCTTGACCAGTATAATATACACCTGTTCACAAACACAATGCCAGTGCAGTCACAAGTGTGATCTTCATCAGAAATCCACAGATGCCCAAGATTCGTTGCTTTCAAGCTGGACGATTTCCTGATTCACTGGATACAAAGAATATGTGTGTATTTTTGCATATCGTTATTTGCTACATACAGCGGCAATGATTACCTTGGTTTAGACATGAAGGAACGATGGGCTGTCATCTGTTGAAGCCGCAGTGTGGGTGTATTGAAATAGACACTGTATAGAGAATGGAAGATACTGTAACTGTATGAATGAGACGATAAAGATTTAAAATTACCATGTTTATTAGGGCAAGTCGTTGCAAAGATTTTCTATAAATACTTTTGTTGATAAATACAAATCACTTTGATAACTTAAATATTATCAAGGAGCAATATGTTCATTTTTGTGTATCAGTATATTGATATGAGTTATTTGTTTTAAAAGACAACCTTTATTCCACTGTAATGTTAAAATGACATCTGTCAACAGTTACTCATAAAGAGATGTAGTGTTTGAGGTATATATCCATGAAAAGTTGTATGTATCTGAGGGGTATCTAAACGTTGACAGTGAAGATTTGCCGATATGTATTTCTTGAAAGCTCCTCTGACATGAGGTGCTGTTCTGCAGCTAAGTTGTTGTTATTTATTGCTTGTTTGGGTGTTATTTATTTGATAGGATCCTTATCAAAACAATGTTTATCATATGAACTTCATCTTGTTTCATCATCTAAAACATACAGCTATGAACTCATGACAGGGATTATAGTGGAACTAACTGATCAAACGAATGACAATATGTGAAATGTGCTCTCCATTTGTTCAAGATTCCCATACTTCGAGGCTAGTGGAGAGCTGATATAAATCTTGTTTCTGTTGGGGCACAATAGAATTTAGATTTTCTTAGATCATTTATTGTAAAATGTGTGATGGAAGATAGTAATTCTGATTATTTTTGGGTGGCAAGGTAGAGATGAAAGTTTTATAAATATATTTTGGCCAAAAGCCTCATGCATTAAGGAGTATCTGCTGACAAGGTTTCTCAGTACGTTGTAACTGACCAAATCTATGTTACGCAGGGCCAAATAATGATGAATACATATCACAAATATGAGAAATTTGAGACAACATTGTATTTACATATATATATATCAAAACGAATACACTCGATAGATATATGGCAAAATACCTAACAAAACAAACAATCATATCCACTCTTTGATGGCCGAAAATCCATAATACGTCATAATTTCATTTACCTTTTAGTTATGTCATTACCATTTACCAAAGTGTTATTGCATATCAAAACTTGGATTCTTTTTAAAAATTTGTTTTCGGTTGACAGCACAATAATCACATAGTGCAATGCAAGATTTACAGGGAGGGAAAGATTATAAGATTTTTAAAACTTTATACATTTAAGAGTTTTTCCAGGGGAGATAATTGCGATGAGAACACCTGAACACCTCTTTACAGTGACTCCATTGAGTGATCATTTACAGTTCAGAGGAATTGATGTCAGAAGAGTCGCTTATGATGTCCTGGCGATCGAGGTAGTGCTCCTTTAATTTGTTACTAAAATACACCTACATATTGACACACTTTGTAATGATTAAATCACTTCCACACCTGAGTAGAATATAGCAGAATCATATTGAAATAATCCTTACAGGCTTTTTAAAACAAAACATTAAAAATTGTGTTTTAATTGACTGGTATATTGATGCATCATGTTGTAGAGAGAGTTCATTCATCAATACAAAAAGTTTTATTTTTTTTATTTGTTTGTGGGTATCAAAAGTGGTATGCATCTAGTTTAAATCAAATCAAAACACAATTCACACACTCACTTTATCTGCAAATGAAACGCAGTTGAGACAGGGAATTGATGTCATAGTTTGACCAAGCTCAGTGTCAGCAACTGTTTTGCACACTATCTGCATCAGACTTTTATTTATCTCACAGTCAGTCGCGATGTTCTTGTCCGACATGATGGGTTTAGCTATGCAACTACTAGTAGATGCATTATAATAATATTGTGAGTGATTTTAGATTTATAAATGCCTAATTATGAAACAGTTTATTGAAATGTGATTTATATATATTGCTTTTGAATATGATGGATATCTGCTGAAATCATTCCATACTTCATAATATCGATTTATAAAGGCGAGCTGCTGTTTTGCAGGGAAAACCTATGGTGACATTATTTTGTATATATCTGCATTGTTCTAGATTGTCATAATTTCCTACAATTTTCTTGTTGATGTGAATTTCCTAAAGTATTGGTTAGCATCAAATTACCATGGTATACACATGATTTTGGTTAACAGAAGATCATCATGAATTCACACAATTTGATAAACATAATATTCCTATGGCATTCGTGGCATAACACCATCAATTGAGCAAATATGCTTTGCAAACCTACATATGTTTCATTGAACACTTTTCCAGCATAATTTCTAAAGTATTATAATATAAGAAGAACTTGACAAGAACAAAGTAATTTCTTTCATTGTGCATGCTGGTCATCTTTTTATTAGAAGTTTAGATTGTTTCTCTGTGGCACCATTTTCCTTCTTTTTATCCCTTTTAATTTTTGTGAAAAATAATGCTCATGTAGGTCAGTTCCCATATGAGTATCATTTAAAGGGGAGATAACTCCAGCAAGGCGAATTCCTTGCAATTAACTGAAAAAGCATCTGTTGCTTATAGTTTGTATTCATCAGGTACTAAGTGATGCTCAATTTCTGTCTTTCATACTTGACTTTGGGTCAGAGATCCTTGCAGCTTTCATGTACCAGTTACAGGAAGCTGCTGAGGTTATCGATGAAGTCATTGCTCTGAAGCCAAAACCTTCAAGGAATTTCTGGCAATATTATCACCAGAGTGAGAGCTAGTTGGTTAATGCAGTTAAACCTTCACTTGCAATATTACCACAAATGAAACAACACCAGTCAGTTTTACAAGGGGGCAAGTGGCAGAGAAAGTGGAACAGAAAAACAAAGGTTTAAGGAAAATTTAACTAAAAACTTAATTGGCGTGATTTTATGGTTGAACTTCTCAGGTAATTGTCCTCAGGGTCAGCCATGAAAATGTGTACAAGTTTGGGAGGGAAATTTATTAAGTCTGTTTTATACTCTGGGGTATAAAAGAGCATAAAAGTATGTGTCTCTTATGTTCTGCATGTCATGCACTGAGTATATCTAAGTCTTGTACCATTCCATGCTGAGGTTGTTATGAATTGTTAGGATTCTCTTGCCCAAACATACATTTACCTACAACACTGCTGATGTGGCCTTTTTCAATAGTTGCACTGACTGATATTGTCTAATGCAGCTTTTTTGGCCAGGTGTTCGTTTTAACTCTGGCATTTTCCAAATTGTTGAGTTAGTAATGTTTCATAATACCACAGCATCTGTGACAAACTTTTCAAGTGAGACATTGACGTTCAAGGGGTTGGACATGAAGCCAGTAAGTAATTATGAAACAGGTCATTTTTTACTTGTACAGTTTGTATGAAATAACTTCTTCTTGTTTTGGTGCTTGACAGTTTTAAGTCATTTAGGAAGTTGAGTGATTACCAAGTGTATTATAAGACATATGTGATATCTTGGAATTTGATCAAAAGCAGTTGTATCTGTTTGGGATCTTACATGGCGAAGTGGAAGAGATTTAATTGGGAGACATTTCTCAGTTTTCTTGCCAGTCTTAACTTTTAGGCCATTTCTGGTTTTAAAACTGTCTTGGTCAATATTGAGGAGGTAATGTGAAACATCAGAACATTTTTCTGGCAGCATAATCCATAAGACAAGCACTGCTAAGTCTGAGAAATTGACCAATAAGCAGACAGGTCACAGCCTCTCTGGCTGAAAATTGACCAATAAGCAGACAGGTCAAAGCCTCTCTGGCTGAAAATTGACCAATAAGCAGATAGGTTACAGCCTGTCTGGCTGAGAAACTCAGCAATAAGCTGTTAGGTTACAGCCAGTAAGCAAGTCACCAGTAAAGCAGAATATTGATATTGTATGTTAATTCAAAATTCAAAATTCAGCCGTACATTCCTGATATTGCCTCAACATGTGATTTTAGCAAGTTCATTTAAACTATTTTTCTTATGCATTTTAGGACTGATATCAAATAAACAGTTCTTCACTAATGTGTGTAATAATATTTCTTCAACCCTGTCTGTGATAATGTGTCCCAGAGTGTCTATATAAATTGTTGTGATTGTCAGTAATTCTCAGACTTGTAAACACTACCTCCCCATAAGCCACCTATGAATAAATGGTTGCTATGCAGTGAAGTATTGTCTGTAAGTTGTCCAGGAATCATTCCAACTTTCAGTGTTAGGGATGCTTGTGAGTGGTCTGACCAATCAGTGCTAAGGTTACATCTCATGAGTAGCAAATTTCTCCCTTGACAAAAGCCTTGCTTCTTTGTCAGGCAGTGGTAGTGTTTGTGATATGGTCATGTAACAAGTAGAGCTGGTTTCACTTCTGTGATGCCATTCTCTTCCCACAGAGGTTATGCGTCATATCTTCCTACGAACCTCTGTTCTAATACGGTCATATTTCCGGGTTCTCGTAAACTCCCCTGTCGGCCAAAAATCGCAACACGAATTATCTCCCTTCTTTCTATCCAATCAGAACACGTGTTACATCGACTTAGCTCTAACCTGACTAATACAAGCAAATGTGGGGCCACAAACATAAAAAATGGAGATGCCATCGATCCGCCATTACATGACTGAGTTCTGTCTAGAAGAAACGTTTACGCATCGCGCAGGTGAAGAGGTACTAGTTTTCCCGAAGCATACGGAAATTACCGAGGCCTTGCAAATGATCAGTTTTGAAACAACGTCGCTGATTGCACAACTAAATCTGATTGCAACCAATCACGAATTCTGAACACTCGCACCATGAAAGGGCCGTATTAGAACAGAGGTTCGTAGGAAGATATGACAAGTAACCTCTGTGGGAAGAGAATGCTAGGGCTCATTTCTCTGGCTGAAAATAGAAACATTTTACAAAAGCCACCATGAATATACTGCTCACAAAAAAATCTTGAATATTTTTTGGGATGTTTATATGACACTGCGTGATAAGTTTTCTCTACCGGAAAATACTACTGAGTTGTATGTTTTTATTCAGTGTTTATTAAGTCACAAGTGATGACAGAACGTTGTGTAAATAAGCCTTTGGAGTTTTGACAATTAACTAATGTGTGAACAAGCAACAAATGTAAGTAGGATTGTTATATTTTGATTCACAAAGTTTGATCTTTGATTTTCACTGTTTACTGCTGTGCTTGTGTAGTGTATGTAAACTGGTGTGAATTGTCTGTATTTTGATTTGTTTTATGTAAATACTTGAGAGGCTATATTGTTTATAATGAAATCACCTATTTCTTGAGAGAGTTATTATTTTACGATTGTTATATAGATTTATTGCAGTTTTTATTTCTACACATATTCTGCATGTTTCATTCACAATTGCCTTACACTGAAAGTCCATTTCACTTTTTCCACGCGCCCTCTGTGATTATCATAATATCAAAAGTACATTCAGAGTCATTGTTGTTATTTGTTGCTGATTTTTGTGAAAATCTGATTAGGCAAGGCCAATTTTATTTCTTGTTTTACAGATTTTTGTCTTCAGAAAACCTAAAGGCAGGAGGAAAAAGAAAAAAAGTCAAAGCAAAAGTCTACATGAGTTTCCATGTTAATTCTTCTGGTTTGTTTATATCAACTAAACATAAGAGAAGGGAAAGATAATTTTTATATTTTTTTATTATTCTTGAAAAAATATGACTGGCGGATCCTTAAAACAAGGAATAAAATTGTTCTGGCCTTAACATGTTTACTAAAGTAGACAGAAGTAGTTATTCATGCAGATGACTGATCAAGCAGCTGCATAATTTGTAAGATCATATTTAACAGTTTGGGGTATTCCTTCTGACTTCTGACTAAAATATGGCTGTTTTCTTTCCCAGTGCAAAAATCTTCAACAGAAACAAAAGTGAAATTCTGATGCCTGTTGTCAAAATATTGATTCTTAAGAATGGATTGCCACAAGAATGTCATGACATGTTCAGTTGTTGTAAATGTGACACATTGCAAGTACAGCCATTAACCAGTCTCTGTTA